GTTCTGCAAACTGATGTGACACGTATCTAATGCCAAATAACATCAAAAACATGCAACAAAAATAATATAATATACTTTTGTTGGTAGCTGAACAGGTGGGGCTAAAAAATTGACGCGTCACCACTGAATAATCACTACCCACTTACAAGGTTATGAAGTTGTCTTAGTAGCCCAGATTAGCTTCCCAATCCTCCCATTCCTCATTTTTTATTTGTTTATTCACCTTTATTTAACAGGTAAGCAGTTGAGAACAGGTTCTCATTTACAAATGCGACCTGGCAAGATAAAGGCAAAAGCAGTGCCAATAAAAACAAAACAGAGTTACATATGGGTAAAAAAACAGAAAAGTCAAAAATGACAACAGAAAAGATATATACCGTGTGTGCAACAAAAATGTAGCAGTTATGGAGGGGTAGAAGGCAATAATAAATAGGCTATACGTGCAAAATAATACAATAGTATTAACACACTGAATGCTAGATGTGCAAGAGAGAAGAAGAGATTTGTGCAAAAATAGGATACTGGGGGTGCAAAAGAGCAAAATAAATAACAATATGGGATGGAGGTAGTTGGGTGGGCTAATTTCAGTGCGCTGTGTACATGTGCAGGATCGGTAAGGTGCTCTGACAACGATGATTAAGTTATTGAGGGAGATAGGAGTCTCCAGCTTCAGAGATTTTTGGCAAATTCTTCCAGTCATTGGCAGCAGAGAACTGGAAGGAAGGCGGCCAAAAGGCCAAAGGAGGTGTTGGCTTTGGGAATGACCAGTGAGATATTACCTGTGGAGCGCAAGACTAAGGGGGGTGCTGCTATGGTGACCAATGAGTAAGAGAGGCGGGGATTGCCTAGAGTGATGTATAGATTGGCCTGGAGCCAGTGGGTTTGACGACGAACTGAGTGAGAAGCCAACAAGGAGCGTACAGGTCACAGTGGGGGGGTGGGTTAGTGTATGGGGCTTTGGAGACAAAAACGGAGGCACTGTGATAGACTACATCCAATTTTTTTTTGCGAGTAGAGTGTTGGAGGCTATTTGTAAATGACATGCCGAAGTCAAGGATCGGTTAGATAGTCAGTTTTACGAGGCATGTTTGGCAGCGAGTGAAGGAGGCTTTGTTGCGAAATCGGAAGCGATTCTAGATTTAACTTTGGATTGGAGATTCTTTATGTGAGTCTGGAAGTTGAGTTAAAGTTAACCAGACACCTAGGTATTGTAGTTGTCCACATTACTCTAGGTCAGGAACAGTCGAAGAGTGGTGATTCTAGTAGGGTGGGCGGGGCCAGCAGCGTTCGATTGGAAAAGCATGATTTAGTTTTACTAGTGTTTAGAGCAGTTGGAGGCTAATGAAGGATTGTTGATGGCATGAAGCTCGGTTGGAGTTGTAACACAGGGTCCAATGAAGGGCCAGATGTATACAAAATGGTGTCGTCTGCGTAGAGGTGGATCTGAGAGTCACCAGCAGCAAGGCGAATAATTGATATATAAGGAGAAAGAAAGTGGGAGGCCAAGCATTGAAGCAGTGGAACCCCCATAGAGGACTGCCATAGGTCCAGACAACAGGCCCTTTTTTTTTCCGATTTGACACATGAACTCTACTGAGAAGTAGTTGGTGAACAGGCGATGGCAGTCATTTGAGGAAACAAGGCCTATTAGTCTGCCAATAAGAATGCGGTGGTTGACAGATCGAAAGCCTTGGCCAGGTCGGAGATGAAGAACGCCCTGCCCTTGCACCGTACTGTCTATTATTCAATCGCGTTATAATATCGTTTAGGACCTGAGGTGGCTGAAGTGCACCCATGGCCAGCTCGGAAACCGGATTGCATAGCGGAAGAGGAGAAGGTACGGTGGTATTCGAAATGGCGGTGATCTGTTGTTAACTGGCTTTCAATTACTTGCGAAAAAGGAAGGGCAGGATGGATTAGTGTGTAGCAGTTTGAATCTAGAGTGTCACCCCCTTGAAGAGGGAGATGACCGCGGCAGCTTGCCAATCTCTGTGTCATAAAAAACCGTAGTGGAATTGTGGTGGAGGAGTCAAGCGCAGGAAGCAGAGGTTTAGTCCAACAAGACTTTTAATAGTCTCCAAAAGCAATAGTGTAGACACCCCGACCTCGAATAACACGAAGAGGCGCAGGGAAAATTACGCACAGCGTAAAACACTAAACATAGAAAAATGATACGGAAAACAAACACGTATCAAACATACAAGGACGGCAACGGAAAAAAAAATAAACAACACACAATTCCATAGAGCAAAACAAGGAACTATAGAACATATAATCAAACACTTCAAAACAGACCACAGGTGTGCCAGCAGACAGACCAAAAAGCAATCAAACACAGAAACATAGAGACGGGTGGAACTAATACTCCGGGGACGGCGAAACGCCGAAGCCTGCCTCCGCCGAACAAGGAGGAGGAGCAGCTCGGCTGAATGAAAACCGTGACAGTAACCCCACCCCTCTGACGCGCGGCCCAGCCGCGCGACGACCCCGGCCTCGGGGACGGCAAGAGGACGCGGACCCGGGAGCGTGGGATGCCCATGGTAAATTGAAACTCCGTCCAGGAGGGATGGATCAAGAATGTCCCCACTGGGACCCACGCACCGTTCCTCCGGACCGTACCCCTCCACTCACGAGAGACTGGAGACCACCCTCGGAGCTCGAGTCCAGGTGGTCCGGACCCTGACGCCGGGGCCCCCTCGATGTCAACGGGGGGGCGGAGGGGGTCTCTCTATCTCATCTTCATTGGAGTTGGGCCAGATACCACCCAGCCTGAGAAGAGACCATGGAACGAGGGGTTGGTTAATATTTTTATTCCCAATGGCAGTTGTAACCTGTAACACACTCGTTCAATATTCTCAGGACTTTGAAGGGCCCCAAAAACGCCGACCCAGCTTCCGGCAGGGCAGGCGGAGGGGCAGGTTGAGTCGAGAGCCAGGATAGATATAACAGGTGTGTAAACCGGCCCTCGGCTGCGGGTGGCGATCGGCGCTCGCCTTTTGTTGCGTATGGAACGCTGCAGATGGACCTGGGCAGCGCCCACGTCTACTCCGAGAGCGAATCCACTCAGCCACCGCAGGGGCCTAGATAGGCTCCGTGCCCACGGTTGCCAGGACCGGCTGTGATAACCTAAAACACACTGGAAAGGGTTAAGTTGGTGGAGGAGTGGCGGAGAGGAGTTCGAGCAATCTCTGCCCATGGGATGACCTCGACCACTCCTCCGGACGGTCCCGGCAATAGGACCTCAAAACCTACACCACATCCTGGTGAACAATTCCACTGCCCATTAATCTCTGGTGGTAACCCGAGGTAAGGATTACCGAGACCCCCAAACGTTCCAATGAACGGCTCCCCCAAAATCTGAAGTGAAGCGAACGGGGGACCTCGGCAGACACAATTATCCTCGGGGGACCATAGTGCCGGAAAACATTGGTGAATAGGGCCTCAGCGGTTTGTAGGGCAGTTAGGGAGACCGGCATGGAAGGAGACGACAGGCCTTGGGGAAAACCGATCCAAAGACCAAAATGGTGGTATCCCCTGGGGAGGGGGAAAGGGCGGTACGAAATCCACCGTAGGGGACCATTGCGTTGAGGACGGGCAGGGGATGTAAGATTACCCCAGGGCAAATGTCCTTAGGGGGCGCCTTACCACTGGGCACACAACGAGCAGGAGGGAGACATAAACCCTCACATCCCAGGCTAACGTTGGCCACAGTATTCATGCTAAGACAGTGCAATGTCCGGCCAATCACCAGGAGTCCAGAGGAGGGTGATGATGAGCCCAATATTAATAAGGTCTATCACGAATCTCGAGCGGGACGTACGACGCCCACAGGACACACGGGTGGGAGTAGGGTCGGTTACGCAGTGCCGATCGATTTCTGAATCGACCTCCAACCACCACCGGAGCCACAACAAGACTACGGCAGTATGGATGGAAGTAGCTCGTGGACCTCTCCTATGTGTCATATCGCGGGGACAGGGCGTCTGCCTCACCTTCTGGGACCCAGGAGGTATGTGATCTTAAAAAAACGAACCGGATCCACACCCCCTCCCAACGCCAAACCGACCCCTCCCCCCACCAACACATCTCAACTTTCCCTCCCCACACTTCCCTTATCCGGCCCCCCCCTATTACCCTCCTTCCTCCCAATCTCCCCCCCTTTAACCCCCCATCTGCTAACCCCTTTTATTCTCCCTCCCTTCGTCTACACCACCCAACCTCTCCTCCACCTTCCACCCACCCAACCAATCCTCCCTCCCACCCCTTCCGGACGCCGGTGGGCCGCTTCGGTTTTCCCGTAGGGTGGTACCTCCACACGCCGCCCACGGTGCCCTTCAACCCGCCCGAGGGGCGCCCCGGGCCCCCCACCTTTTCTCCCTCTCATCACGTCCCATTCTACTGTCCACCCCACAATTCTTTCCCGCATGTAAACCATCACACTCCCCCACCGAAATGTTCACTTCGTCCCGCTCTCCCGCGCGTCCATCCGTCTACCCCCGAGGCCCGTACACCTGCACCCCCGGCCACCGTTGTTTGAGTCCGCGACCCCCCTACCAGTTCCTAACCCAATACTAACCCCCTTACGTATTCATCTATTCGTCCGAGTGTCTCCTCAGTCCTTGCCCTGGATCTCACCATCGCCCGACACCTCCCCTACACTGAGCTGGTCCTTCCCTTATTTATCCCTGTTTTTGTCGACGGTGCCTACCCCCCTATGCTGCTACCAAAACCACATTGTTCTTATGGCCGACATCTCCCGTCCTCACCTCCTTCCTTCGTCGCTTTTACCGTGTTCGGTCTCCCTTAGCGTTCCAGCCCTTCATCACTTTCCTCACTCTTTTCTGGAGAGCTTCTTTCTCTCCTGCTTCGTCATCCCGTGGGCTACTCACTCTTCTGTACTCTTTGCACCCGGGGCCGTTATCAATCGCCCCCCAGTGGGAAGACTCCCCAGGAAGGTTCACTACCTACCTTTGCCCCTCCGCCCCCCTCCTCCCCTACCGCCCATTGCCCTCCTCCTCCCCCACCCCCCTGAGGTCTACCCTCGTCTCGGGGACGGGAACCACGGTGTTGCAGAAGGTCATCCAGTCAGGGCCTAAGGCCGTGCCTACTGCGCCGTGAGGGAACCGCGAACGGGATCTCGGGTCGTGTAATCCGGCCGATGCTGTGCCGCGGCTGCTAGCTTTGCCGTGGAGCCGGCAAGCGGCCAGTGTGGCTTCCTCCTCGGCAGCCCATGGGTAATGGGGCGGCCCACGCAGGGATTCGGGTTGCCTGGGTCTTGTGCGTGGGGGGGTCGGGCTTAGGAAAAACGGCTTTTTCTCCTCGGGATCGGCGTGGTTCGGTCTAGGAAGGGGGGTGGGTGGGGGGGGCGGGTGGGTGGGTTTAGGAAAACATGTTCCACCTTAGACGGCGAGGGTTCAAATCTCATAGCTGCCCGGAGTACTCCAGGTTACGGTTGATCCGTCAGAATGCGGAAAGGGTGTTGAGCCCCCTCAAGCCAATGACTCCACACCTTAGGGCTGGACTACGGCTAACAGCTCCCTGTCCCCGAATTCATAGTTACTCTCAGCCGCACGAGCTCATAGAGTAGAACGCACAGGGGCGGAGTTTAGGTGGCGTGACCGACCGTTTGGATAGAAACTGCCCCAATACAGTCTCGGACGCGTTCGACCTCAACCGGAATGGTAAAGAGGGCTCCGGATGCGCCAGCACAGGAGTCGAGGTGAAACGGGTCTAAGTTGACAAATGCCTGTCCGCCTCAGCATACCACGGCAGAGAACGGACCCCCTTTAGCAGGGACGTTAATGGGAGCTGAAACCTGTCCAAAACCCCGAATTAAAACCGCTCCGGTAGTAAGTAGGCAAAACCCAAGCACTGTTTGCACCTCTTTTACAGTGGTTGGAGTTGCCAATAATTACGGCACGAGGCCGATACCCGGTCTACCCTCATCTCCACACCAGACGCGGACACAACGATACCAAAAAGGAGACGGAACTCCGGAAGAAAGGATTTCTCTGCATGAAATACAAGTCATGCTCCAACAGTGCTCAACATCGGCGTACCTGGGCTACATGCTCGGCTCGAGATAGCAGAGTCCACCCACCAAGGATGTCGTCTATGACCACTACTACTCCCTGCCCAGATTTGTCCCGGGAAAATCTCGTCAACAAAGGCTTGGAAGGAATGAAGGAGCATTCATTAAACCGTGATATGGCATGACGACGATACCGTAATGACCAGAGGTGGTGCTAAATGCTGTCTTCCATTAATCCCCCTCCCTTAAGGCGCCACCAGATGTACGCGTCCTGAGATCCACTTGTGAAGAACGACGATCCGCGTAATGACTCCGTCATCGTCGCAATCAGTGGAAGTGGGAGCTGTATGTAACTGTGATCTGATTGAGACTACGATAATCAATAAACGGGCGCAATCCCCCCGTCCTTTTTTTCACAAAGAAGAAACTCGAGGGACTGGGGAAGTAGAGAGAAAAGTGGAGGAAGTAGAGAAACCTAGTATCCCTGTGCAGGATCGGCTATGTTGTTAGGTTCCATAGCCGCAGTTTCCTCTTGAGACAGGGGATACAAATGACTACGGGGAAAGAGCCGCTCCGGTCGGAATTTATGCACAGTCCCCTGTCTCTGAGGAGGGAAGGTAGCCGTGCTGCCATCGATTTTGCTAAAACACGAGTGATAAAAGCATCATTACTCGGGGGATATGCGCAGTGCGGGCCTTGGTTTGCGACTCTCTAACGAGTCGCCCCTATGGAAACACCTAGACATCTCCATACACACGGGCAGACACTCCATAGAGCCCTCTGTTGCCACGCTATGTAGGATATGGGTACTTAACCAGGAAGGCCCACACCACTGGGTACGGCAGGAGAGTCAATCAGATAGACTGATGATTTCCTCATGACCCCCTGCGTCGTCATAGTCAGTGGTGCTGGGTGACATCCCTGATCAGAACCCGACCCAACGGCGGCTGTCAATGCGTGGACAGGGAATGAACTTCTACCGGCCCGAAGGGGAATCCTAACCTAGCGCAAAATGCTCGATCAATAAAGTTCCCAGCTGCGCCCTGTGAATCGACTAGCGCCTTATGCTGGGAATTGAGGTGCCACCTGTGGAAACCTCACAGGATAATATGTGACCAACAGAGAGCTCTGGGTGAAGGGGGCGCCTACTCACCTGAAAATGCTCCCAGTGCGTGGCCTGTTGTAACCTTCCAGGAGGACCCCCCAGAACCTGGCCGCAGTGTGTCCTCCACGAACCGCAGGTGGTGTGCAGTGGAGGATGGCCCCCCTCGGGTTCCCTCTCATCCTCTATCTAGCGCCAGCCACCCCTAGATCCCATGGGAATCGGCTCGGGGGTGCTGGAGAGGGTGGAATGGAGACCCCACTCGGGACGTCAAGGGTAGCAGCAGGGATCCAGACGGATGGAAACGCCACCAACTGGTCAAAACGGACAGGTTGGTGTCCATGGCAGGCCAGCTCCACGACGTCTCTGTATAGACTACAGCGGTTACTGGTCGATGAGGGTCCCTCTATTCCACCCCGATCCGCCGCTAGTGTCCGATGGACGCCAGTGCGAACTTTCCTGTGCGCTCCTCTTCCCCTGTTCGGAGGTGGAATAGACGCTCTCCCGCCGCTTTCCCCTCAGGGGGATGATCGAAGGACAGCCTGAAGCGGCGGGAGAATCCGAGTAGGTGATTGGCGGTAGCGGCGCATTCCCCTCCATCGGCGTTGCCCATGCCAACGCCTGACGGAAGAGACAGGAGTGAGGGCGAGACGCTCTCGTATACCGAGGGCGCCGGGGGTATAGTGGGCAAGGTACAGTTTACCTGCCGGAGGAATCCCTGACACCCGGCTGCAGCAGACCGTCATTATGCCCTCGGGGAGTGAGAGCCGGAATGCCATGGGTTCCGGTACTGAAGAAGAGGAGGACGGATGTGGTGAGGCGACGCAGTTGTAAGGGTCCTGGCCACATCAGATTCACCAATCGGAGCAGGGCGTTGGAAACTCGTCCCTTGAGGTCCCGAGGTTGCTGGATCATGGCGTCTGGAAATGCCTGGAAAATTGATCCGGTCAGCAGGGATTGGGTTTGCCGTCGCTGATCCCTGCTGACTCCAGAATGGTGTGTTGTTCTGTCATAAAAAACCGGCGGGATGTGGTGGAGGAGTCTCACGCGAAGAGAAGCAGAAGTTTAGTCCAACAAGACTTTTAAAGTTCAAAGCAAAGAGTGTACACCCCGAACCGAAGAACCGAATAGGCGAGGGAAATAAGGCACACGCGTAAAACACTAAAACATGAGAAAAAGGATACGGAAAAACAAACACGTATAAAACAACAAGAGGCAACGGAAAAAAATAACAACCACAAGTACCATAGAGCAAAACAAGGAAACTATAAAGACAATAATCAAAACTCAAACAGACACAGGGTGTGACAGACAGACAAAAGCAATCAAAACACAGAAAAAAAATAGAGCGGTGGCAGCTAATACTTCCGGGGACGGCGAACGACGAAGCCTGACCGACCGAACACGGAGGAGGAGCAGCCTCGGCCGAAAACCGTGACAATCTGGGGATCTAGACGTATGAAAGAGAGGTTGAACAGACTAGTAATAGGGGTTGCGACAATTCGGCGGATAGTGAGTTTTAGAAAGCAAGGGTCCAGATGTCTAGCCCGAGATTTGTAGGGGTCCAGATTTTGCAGCGCTTTTCAAAACATCAGCTGTCTGAATGTGGGTGAAGGAGAAGCTGGGGGGGGGGGCATGGGCAAGTGGCAGCCAGAGGGTGCGAGTTGGTGGCGGGGTAGTGGTAGCCAGATGGAAAAATGCCAGCTGTAGCAAAATGGCTTGTGAATTCTCGATTATTGTAGATTGTATCGTGTGATAGTGTTTCTAGCCTCAGTGCAGTGGGCAGCTGGAGGAAGTGCTCTTATCTCCATGACTTTACAGTGCCAAAACTTTTGGAGTTAGGCTACGGATTGCAAATTTCTGTTTGAAAAAGTTAGCCTTGCTTCCAACTGCTTGTGTATATGGTTCTAACTTCCTGAAAAGGTGCATATCGCGGGGGGCTATTTGAGCTATGCTGTACGCCACAGATGTTTTTGTGCTTGTTCAGGGCAGTCAAAGTCTGAGGAGAAACCAGGGGGCCGGGGCTATATCGGTTCTTAGTTCGTATTTTTTGAAGGGGCAGGTTATTGAAGATTGAGAGGAAATACTGTTTAAGGAACAACCAGGCATCCTCTACGACGGAATGAGATCATATCCATCCAGGATACCTGGGCCAGGTCAATAGAAGGCCCTGCTCGATAAAGTGTTTAGGAGCGTTTGTGACAGTGATGAGGGGTGGGTCGTTGACCGCGGGACCGTTACGGAAGGCAGCGCATAAGGCAGGATCGCGAGATCTGGTTGAAGGACAGCTGAGGTGTATTAGCGGGTATGTTAGTCAGGATGATATCTATGAGGGGACCCATGTTTACGGATTAGGGTTGTTGTACCTGGTAGGTTCGTTGATACTTTGCGTGAGGTTGAGGGCCTATAGCTTGGATGTAGGATGGCGGGGTATTAAGCATATCCCAATTTAGGTCACCCAGCAGTACAAAACTCTGGGGATAAATGGGGGGCGGGCAATCAATTCACATATGGTGTCCCAGGGCACAGTGGGGATGAAGGGGGGTCTGTAGCAATCGGCGGCAACATTGAGGACTTATTTCTGGAATAAGGTGGATATTTTTAGAAGTAGAAGCTCAAAATGTTGGGCACAGATGGATAGTATTGATAGAGCTCTGCAGGGCCTAATCTCTACAGTAGATTACAAATCCACCCCCTTGTGGCAGTTCTATCTAGACGGAAAAATGTTATAGTTGGGGCTGGAAATTTCAGAATTTTTGGATGGCCTTCCTGAGCCAGGATTAAGACACTGCTAGAACATCAGGGTTGGCCCAGCGTGTGCTAACGCAGTGAATAACTCAAAACTTAGGAAGTAGACTTTGATAGTTTAGGTGCAAGACAGAAACCAAGGGACTTTTGCGATTACAGAAGTCAGCAAATGATAGGCGGGCCCTGGTGGAGTAGGAGTGATACTGAGGGCTGCAGGGCCTGGGTTAGCCTTACATCACCAGAGGAACAGAGGAGGACTAGAATAAGGCTACGGCTAAAGGCTTTAAGAATGGTCTTCTAGTGCGTTGGGTACATAGAATAAAGGGGCAGATTTCCGGGTGTGATAGAAAAGATTCAGGGCATGGGCACATATGTACAGACAGGATCGGAAGGATATGAGTAAAGTGGAGGTAACCAAGCGTTGGGAACAATGAAAGAGGATAAGCATCGCTGGAGGCACAATTGGTCGGTCTATGCGGTATAGGGGTGGGACAAATGGAGCTATCGTAAGGCAGGTTAGCTAGGCTGGGGTGTTACGTGAAATAGTTTACAATTAGAAATAACCGAAACAACATAACTAACCATGTTTGGGCTGAGGCTAACATAAACAGGATGTAGTACCGTAAAAAGGTCAACAGTCCAGCAGGAACCATCAGGGAGTATCGCTGAGTATCATAAGGTCCGGGTGGTAAAAGACTAGCGAGGTAAGTAAGAGGCACGGCTAGCGGTGCTAGCGGGCCGGGGATAGCAGATGGAATCTCGTGGTGAACGTGTAACCAATCAGACGATTTCGTCGGCAGCAGACCAGTGTTGTAGGATCGGGCGGGGCTCCGTATGTCAAATAGGTGTGGTCCCGTCCGGTTGACAGAGCGGTAGATAGCCGGGAGATGGGCCTAGCTAGGGATGATTAGCCCACAAGAAGAAGCATTTTCAGGCTATCAATAACGTTAGAGTAGCAGCATGTCTAATTACAGGTAACCGCCAAAATAAAGGACACACCAAATATAGTGTCTTAAACTGTACGTGGCCACGTATTAATGCCAAAATCACATGCAAAACAGGCAAAAAAAAACAAACAAAAAAATTGAATGACGGGGGTTTGCCACTGGGATATTCCACTGCTCATCGTGCTTCATAATCAAATACTATGGATAGTGACTCAGAGACGAAGGTATCTCTAGATCTTCATTCCATGAGAAGAAACTTAATATGTTCTGGTTATGGTCACTTGTCATTGGCAAATGAAATCACCACAGTTCACAGATCTTACAGATGATGTAATTCCACATTTGACTTGGCTTGGAAAAAAAGGACCAGGGAAAAATAGCCACAATTCCAATAACTCCTTACTACAGAGACCCAGTTGAGTTTCACCCAGTCCCACTGAAAGAGAATGAGCATTACCATTGAAGGTCGGAACCATTATCAAATTCCCCCTCTAAAGCGGTGGCTTAATGTAATCAAGCGTCTTTACTAAAGGGTTAAGATGTGGATGGTTGTAGATATAAAGGTATCAGGAGAAGTTGGGTGTGGCTGATCCAGCAGAATTGACTGGGCCCGGAGCACAGGGCTGAAACACAACCAGAAACACATTTCAGCAGCAGTACCAGAGATAAGTAACCACATCCAGACTGATGACTGAACTGACTTGATCTCTGACGACTGGACTGATCTTGACTGACTGATCTCCTGAATGCTGATGATGATCTCTGACTGAATGACTACTGGTCTCTGAATGACTGACTGACTGACTGTATCTCTGAATGACGGAACTGACTGATCTCTGACTGAAGGACTGACTGATTCTCTGACTGACTGAATGATGACTCGACTGACTGACGACTGATCTCTGACTGACTGACTGACTGATCTCTGAATGACTGACAGACTGTACTCTGACTGACTGACGACATGATGGTCTCTGAAGACCTGACTGAATGGTCTCTGAAGACTGACTGATGACTGATGACTCTGAATGACTGACGGATCTCTGATAACTGACTGACTGATCTCGAATGGAACTTGATCTCTTGAATGACTGGGACTGATCTCTGAATTAACTGACGACTGATCTAGAATGGAACTGATCTTGAATAACTGACGACTGATTATAATGGACCGGGGCTGGTCTCTGAATGACTACTGACGGGTCTTGACTGAATGACTGACTGGTCTCTGAATGAACGACTGAAAGGACTGAATGATCTCGGAATGACATGACTGATCTCTGAATAATGACTGAGATGTCTGAATGATGATCTCGGAATAACTGACTGACTGAATGATCTTGAATGGATCTGACTGATCTCAATGACTGACTGACTGATCTCGAATGACTGAATGACTGAATGGAATCTCTGAATGAATGACTGATCCTGAAATGATGACTAATCTCTGAATGGACTCTGACTAATCTCTGAAAGGAACTAAATGACTGATCTCGAATGAATGATTCTGAATGACTGACTGACTGATCTCTGAATGACGACTAATCCTTGAATGACTGCTGACTGATTTCTATGAATGGAATTATGTCTCTGAATTACTGACTGACTGATCTCCTGGAATGAATGATCTGACTGATCTCTGACTGACTGACTAATCTCTGAATGACTGACTGACGGACTGACGGATCTTGAATGACTGGTCTCTGAATGATGACTGACTGTCTCTGAATGACTGATTGCTGATCTCTGAATGACTTTCCAACCAACTGAGTATAATAACAAAGGAGAAGAAAAGAAACCCCTGAAAAAACAGAAATGTTTATCAAATCCTTTATTACTTAATCCGTTTTGGAATTATGGAAACATTAAACAAGAAATATAATCTCATGTTGTTGCATCTCCAACACAAATAAACCAGTGTTACAGTTTGATGTCCAATGAAAGGACAGGACATCTGGTGCCGTGTGGGGCAACATGACCCTGGGCTGATAAATGAGGTATTGTACATATTCGATTTACGGCTTCATTCTTTGATGGATTGAAAGGTGAGAGGCCGGGTCACTCCAGGGATCATTTCCCAATAGTCTCTTCACGATTTCCTTATGTCTTAGACCTCTTCTCGAAACAGATTAGAAGATAGAAGTAGAACCTCAGGACTATTTTGAGAAGGATATGAGGATGTGAGGACACGAGGAATGGAGAGACTAACTGTTGAAGAGCCATGAGCTACACAAGCAGCCAGCAGTGAGCCAGGACAACTAGCACTGTGTTTCAGAGGACCATGGTATAAGTAGCAGAGGCTAGACAGTGTTCCCTTTAATAAAAGGTCTTAATCATGGACGTATGTGATGATGGAGAGTGCTCCCACAAAGGCCTCTTCACCACGCCCCGGCGGATCTGGTTACTCTGGCAGCAGGGTCCAAAGGACCCTTGTCTCTCAGCTAAAGGTGTGTAGGAGAACGGGATCCAATGAGTGAGCCAGTCTCTGGAAGAGCCAGAAGTTCGGGCATCTGAAAAGGAGAGGGAAGCTAATCGCATGTGATCTGGCACAGGTCAATATATATATATTTTTTACATTGACGTATAGGGCTAATGAGAGAGTGAAGTTAGCTTTAAGAGGGTTAGGATACAGTATGCTGTTAGGTGGGGCTGAAGTTACACAGGAATTGAGGGCGAGGTGCGTTTCCCACCCTGTAGTTATCCCAGAACTGACTTCGTGGCTCTGCTGCGCTTACCCACTGCACCTACATGAAAAGGAGATTCCTAATTAAATTGCTTAAAAAACCTGGGAAATCTGAGACACGATGCTAGGAATCAAGGAAATAATAATAATAAAAAATATGCCATTTAGCAGCACAGCTTTTATCCAAGCGACTTACAGCATGCGTGCATACATTTTGTGGAGGGGTGGTCCAGGGATCGACCCACTAACCTTGGCGGTACAGCGCCGTTTTGTGACTCTACCAAGCGAGCTACAGAGGGAACAGGAAAAAAAAAAAAACAGAGACACGCCCCTACCTCACCTAGTTCGTCATAGTTGGTGGGCTTCTGATATATGTGGGTGGCCTGTATTCTGTGGGGTGGCCTGTGTATGTGGGTGGCCTGTGTCTGTGGGTGGGCCTGGTATGTGGGGTCCGTAGGGCAGCCGTATTAGTTGTCCAGAGGAGTGATGGTTCAGGTGGTTAGGGTAAACAGGTATCTCATCTGCCTGCTCCTACAAACTTCCACTGCCTGGGAATCATCTGAGAGACAGCCCCAGTGCCACCAGTAGTTGTCATGGCAGCAGTCAACGATACCAATCACTAGGAGAAAAAGAGGTGGACATGCATGGATCTGTGTTATGAATAACAGTAATCTATGAACTTGTGTTTCCGGTGGTTTAGGCAATGTGATCGTAATGGTAGGTAACCAGTCTGTCAAGAGAGAATATTATTACATCACAGTTTATAATCCGATGATTTTTCAGAAATACCGTATCAGAGGATAGATGCAAGCGTCCGTTTCACAAAGGGGGAGTTGTTTGAAACAACATGTAGGCAGAACATATAAACTCCACTGACAGTTAACGTGAAGTTCCTGTTGAGATCGGACCCATAAACAGCTACAGCTTCTGGGGGAGGAGGGAACGGGATTACGCCAAAAAACCGAGGATGGAGATCAACAGTCAATATTAAAAAAATAAATAATAATCATATAGATAATTTTCAGGGATATAATGGTCTCAGCCTAAGTCAGTTTTTTGCCTTTGAGACCAAACGAATAAGAGTATATAATCTATGGACGGGGGGTGGGGGGGGGGGGGGCCTGATCCTAGATCATGAACTCAGACGTTTCACGAATAATAGCACCAAAACTCATTTTAAACCCCCCATGTATTATGTGGATAGAGATACCACTACATGACCAAAAGTTGTGACACCTGATGGTCGGAAACATCTCATTCCCAAAATCCAGGGCATTGACTCTGGAGTTGGTTCCACCACCCTTGCTGCTCCTATAACCAGCCTTCCACTTCAGATGGGAGGCTTTCCACTAGATGTGGAACATTGACGCGGGGACTTGCTTCCCTTCAGCCACACGAGGCATTAGTGAGGTCAGGACTGATCTCTGACTGACTGACTGGTCTCTGAATGACTGACTGACTGCTGATCTCTGAATGACTGACGACTGATCTCTGACTGACGACTGACTGATCTCTGACTGACTGAGACTGACTCTGACTGACTGACGACTGATCTCTGACTGACTGACTGACTGATCTCTGAATGACTGACAGACTGTCTCTGACTGACTGACTGACTGACTGGTCTCTGAATGACTGACTGACTGGTCTCTGAAGACTGACTGACTGACTGACTGATCTCTGAATGACTGACTGATCTCTGAATCTGACTGACTGATCTCGAATGACTGATCTCTGAATGACTGACTGATCTCTGAATAACTGACTGACTGATCTCGAATGACTGATCTCTGAAAACTGACTGCTGATCTCTGAATGACTGGCTGGTCTCTGAATGACTGACTGACTGTCTCTGACTGACTGACTGACTGGTCTCTGAATGACTGACTGACAGACTGGACTGATCTCTGAATGACTGACTGATCTCTGAATAATTGACTGACTGATGTCTGAATGACTGACTCTCGGAATAACTGACTGACTGACTGATCTCTGAATGACTGACTGATCTCAATGACTGACTGACTGATCTCTGAATGACTGACTGACTGGAAGGATCTCTGAATGACTGACTGATCTCTGAATGACTGACTAATCTCTGAATGACTGACTAATCTCTGAATGACTAACTGACTGATCTCTGAATGAATGATCTCTGAATGACTGACTGACTGATCTCTGAATGACTGACTAATCTCTGAATGACTGACTGACTGATCTCTGAATGAATTATCTCTGAATTACTGACTGACTGATCTCTGAATGACTGATCTGACTGATCTCTGACTGACTGACTAATCTCTGAAATGACTGACTGACGGACTGACTGATCTCTGATGACTGGTCTCTGAATGACTGACTGACTGATCTCTGAATGACTGACTGATCTCTGAATGACTTCCAACCAACTGAGTTAATAACAAAGGAGAAGAAAGAAAACCCCTGAAATAAAACAGAAATGTTCTTCCACTCTTTATTTACTTAATCCGTTTGGCATTTATGGAAACATTAAACACAGAAATATATCTCATGTTGTTGCCTCTCCAACACAAATAAACCAGTGTTACAGTTTGATGTCCAATGAAGGACAGGACATCTGGTGTGCCGTGTGGAGCAACACTGCCCCCTGGCTGCTAAACTGAGGTATTGTACATTATTTCGATTTTAACGGCTTCATTCTGGATGATGAAAGGTGAGAGGCCGGTCTCCAGGGATCATCCTCAATTAGTCTCTTCACGATTCCTTATGTCTTAGCCTCCTTCTCGAAACAGATTAGAAGAAGAGAACCTCAGACTATTTTGAGAAGGATCTGAGGAGAGGACACGAGGAATGGAGAAGACTAACTGTTGAAGAGCCATGAGCTACACAATGAAGCCAGCAGTGAGCCAGGACACTAGCACTGTGTTTCAGAGGACCATGGTATCAGTAGCAGAGCTAGACAGTGTCCCTTTAATAAAAGGTCTTATCATGGACGTATGTGATGATGGAGAGTGCTCCCACAAAGGCCTCTTCACACGCCGGCTGGATCTGGTACTCTGGCAGCAGGTGTCCAAACTGACCCTTGTCTCTCAGCTCAAAGGTGTAGGAGAACGGGATCCCAATGAGATGAGCCCAGTCTCTGGAAGAGCCAGAGTTAGGATCTGAAAAGGAGAGGGAAGGCTAATCTGCATGCTGATCTGGCCAGGTCAATATATATATATTTTTTACATTGACTTATAGGGTAATGAGAGAGTGAAGTTAGCTTTAAGAGGGTATGATACAGTATGCTGTTAGGTGGGGCTGACTTACACAGGACTTGAGGCGAGGTTCCCACCCTGTAGTTCATCCCATGAACTGACTTCGTGAGCTCTGCTGCAGCTTTACCCACTTTCACCTACATGAAAAGAGATTCCTATTAAATTGCTTAAAAACCTGGGACATCTGAGACACGATGTAGGAATCCAGGAAATAATAATAATAATAAAATATGCCATTTAGCAGACGCTTTTATCCAAAGCGACTTACAGTCATGCGTGCATACATTTTTGTGTATGGGTGGTCCCGGGGATCGAACCCACTACCTTGGCGTTACAAGCGCCGTGCTCTACCAGCTGAGCTACAGAGGACCAGGAAAAAACAGAGACACGCCCCTACCCCTCACCAGTTCGTCATAGTGGTGGTCTGTATCTGTGGGTGGCCTGTATCTGTGGGTGGCCTGTGTCTGTGGGTGGCCTGTGTCTGTGGGTGGCCTGTGTCTGTGGGTGTCCGTAGGGCAGCAGTATTAGTTGTCCAGAGGAGTGGATGGTCAGGTAACAGAGGATCTCATCTGTCCTGCTCCCTACAAACTCTGTCACTGCCTGGGACTCCATCTGAGAGACAGCCCCAGTGCCACAGTAGTTGTCATGGCAGCAGTCAAACGATACCCCAATCACTAGGAGAAAAAGAGGTGGACATGCATGGACTCTGTGTTATGAATAACAGTAATCTCTGAACTTGTGTTTCCGGTCGGCAACTGTTATGTAATGGTAACAGTCTGTCAAGAGAGAATATTATTACATCACAGTATAATCCGATGCATTTTCAGAATACCTTATCAGAGGATTAGATGCAAGCGTCGTTTCCCAAAGTGGGAGTTGTGTTGAAACAACATGTAGGAGAACATATATAACTCACTGCCCCAGTTAACGTTGAAGTTCCTGTTGAGATCGACTCCATAACAGCTACAGCCTTCTGGGGGAGGAGACCGGGATTTACGCCACAACCGAGTCTGGAGATCAACAGTCAATAATTAAAAAAATATATATAATAATAATAATAATAATTCAGGATTCATAATGAGTCTCAGCCTAAGATCAGTTTTGCCTTTGAGACCATAACGAATAAGAGTATATAATCTATGGACGGGGGGGGGGGGGGGGGGGGGGGGGCCTGATCCTAGATCTGTACTCAGACGTTTCACGAATATAGGCACCAAACTCATTTTAAACCCACCATGTATTGTAGTGATTAGAGATACACTACATGACCAAAAGTATGTGGACACCTGCTGGTCGAACATCTCATTCCAAAATCCATGGGCATTAATATGGAGTTGGTCCCCCCACCCTTTGCTGCTATAACAGCCTCCACTCCTCTGGGAAGGCTTTCCACTAGATGTTGGAACATTGCTGCGGGGACTTGCTTCCATTCAGCCACAAGAGCATTAGTGAGGTCAGGCACTGATGTTAGGCGATTAGGCCGGGCTCATAGTCGGTTTTCCAATTCATCCCAAAGGTGTTCGATGGGGTTGAGGTCAGGGCTCTGTGCAGGCCAGTCAAGTTCTTCCACACTGATCTCGAGAAACCATTTCTGTATGGACCTCGCTTTGTGCACAGGGGCATTGTTATGCTGAAACAGGAAACGGCCTTCCCCAAACTGTTGCCACAAAGTTCACAGAATCAGCTAGAATGTCATTGTATGCTGTAGCGATAAAATATCTCCCTTCACTGGAACTAAGGGGCCTAGCCCAAACGATGAAAAACAGCCCCAGACCATTATACTTCCACCAAACTTTACAGTTGGCACTATGCATTAGGGCAGGTAGCGTTCTCCTGGCATCCGCCAAACCCAAATTCTTCCGTCGGACTGCCAGATGGTGAAGCTTGATTCATCACTCCAGAGAACGCGTTTCCACTGCTCCAGAGTCCAATGGCGGCGAGCTTTACACCACTCCAGTCGACGCTTGGCATTGAGCATGGTGATCTTAGGCTTGTGTGCGGCTGCTCGGCCATGGAAACCCATTTTTTTAAGCTCCCGACGAACAGTTCTTGTGCTGACGTTGCTTCCCGAGGCAGTTTGGAACTCGGTAGTGAGTGTTGCAACCGAGGACAGACAGATTTTACGCCCTACGCACTTCAGCACTCGGCGGTCCCGTTCTGTGAGCTTGTGTGGCCTACCACTTCGTGGCTGAGCCGTTGTTGTTCCTAGACGTTTCCACTTCACAATAACAGCACTTACAGTTGACCGGGGCAGCTCTAGCAGGGCAGACATTTGACAAACTGACTTGTTGGAAAGGTGGCATCCTATGACGGTGCCATGTTGAAAGTCACTGAGCTCTTCAGTAAGGCCATTCTACTGCCAACGTTTGTCTATGGAGATTGCATGGCTGTGTGCTCGATTTTATACACCTGTCAGCAACGGGTGTGGCTGAAATAGCCGAATCCACTAATTTGAAGGAGTGTCCACATACTTTAGTATATATATATTATCTGTTACACATGATATACTGTATATTGAACTCACACTTTTATTTAGCCAAGAATACACGTAGCCATCGATGTTCAGCACAGGAGTGACATAAAAATCCAAGTTTTGGAGCAGTTGGTTGATTTGCATGTCTGTTTTGTATGTCTGCAAAATCTGTTAAAAAGAGAGGTGTTTATTCGTTTCATAGGGTTTATAAACAGATATAGGTAAGCAGGTAGCTTAGTGGGTAAGAGCGTTGTACCAGTAACTGAAAGGTCGCTGGTTCTAATCCCCAAGCCGACTAGGTGAAAAATCTGTCGATGTGCCCTTGAGCAAGGCACTTAACCCTAATTGCTCCTGTAAATCGCTCTGGATAAGAGCGTCTGCTAAATGACAAAAAAATTAAAATAAATATGAAAAATGAATATATTCCTTCCCATCTCCATCCATCATGTTAAATAAATAGGTAATTTAGCAGACGCTCTTATCCAGAGCGACTTACAGGAGCAATTAGGGTTAAGTGCCTTGCTCAAGGGCACATTGACAGATTTTTCACCTAGTCGGCTCGGGGATTAGAACCAGCAACCTTTCGGTTACTGGCACAACGCTCTAACCACTAAGCTACCTGTACAGGTCTCTTACCTCTTTGACGAACCACTGGCTGAAGGCCGGAGCGATCCACTCACTAGCGTGGATCCCACAGTCCATTCAGATGCTCTTTTTATTCATCCCCTCTGGGTGCTGCAGACCAATCTGTCATGCAACAATGAAACAGAACATCTCCATGTTAACCCACAGGTGCTGCAGACCAGCAATGAAACAGAGAACATCTCCATGTTAACCCGTAGGTGCTGCAGACCAGCAATGAAACAGAGAACATCTCCATGTTAACCCGTAGGTTCTGCAGACCAATCTGTCAGGAAGCAATGAAACAGAAGAGCTACAAATCAGCTCAGAGTTGTTTTACTCTCGAAGTGAAGATAAATAGGTGTTTAGCTCGTCCGATAGCGCAGGCTTTGTTGTCCGTGACGTGACTGGCTTTCTTTTTTAGGAACTCAGGTTTTGATTTGGAAGGGGGTGGTAGTATTTACTGGGCACCGGTCTGCGACGCAAATGACGACTTCTTAATCAGAAGTGTCTAAAAATTGCGGGTATACCTTTAGTCGTGGGAAAAGTGTTTCGCGAAACAGTCACAGGCACGGGTCGGCAAATAATTTGCAATGTGAGTTAGTGTTATCCTGCTAGACGGAGACACCGTATACTGATCATTGGTCTCCAACCTTTTCATACATGAGATCTACTTGTAAAAAATTGACACGACGTGAGCTTCTCATTTATTTCTATCTTTCAAATAGACACATTCTTCTCTTCTCCCCTGCAGATCTTCCCCGAGTCCTTAGTGCACAAGAGAAAGTAGTACACTATGTGTTCTGTCAATATAACTGGTAAAATAATGGTTAATCAACTACCCTAAGTGGGGTCCTATAAAATCTGTGATATTTCCCCCAAAATCTTTGTTTTTCACTCAAAACTACAATTGTTCATAGACAAACAACAAAATTGGATGTTCTGAGTTCATGCCAATGGTTAAATCACATCAGAAAAGCATTTTTGTTTAGGTCTGGAAGGAAACTAACAAATAGACTTTTGAGTGAATTTCCAATTTAAATTGCGCATCTGGCCCTTTAATTAAACTAGTGAGTGAAGAACGTGTCGGTCCAGTGATATTTCTGTACTGCTGCTGCTCATTATATGGCAAAGTTTGCAAATCACAAATAATAGATACAAATTATATACTTACTCATGATATACTTCTGCCAGGTAAGCCTGCTTTGCAGTTAACATTTAATTGAGAAGGTTTTGGGGAAAGTATTTCTGTCAACCCCACAAGACGGTAATGACATGAACTGGGCGACACACAGAGTTAGAAAGAAAAGCCCGCAGCAGACAGGCAGACGGGGGCAATATTTCTGGAAATTAATTGGCAGGTATTGTGTTAGGGTTGGCTTTTTTTAAGCCAATAGTGGCTAACTAGGGGTGGGATAATGTCAACGTTGCGTCGATTAGATAGTAGTTGGGAGTTTGCGGTGTCTTGTGAGATTTGTTTATGACAGTTTGTGGTGGAAGACGTGAAAATTGCAGGTACTTTCAGAATTGTTTGGCGAGCTACTCTGGTATCTCGGGATCCACCTGTTGGAGACCCCTGATCTAGAAGCAGGCCTACATTTGTGATGGCAGTGTGGGGTAGCGGTACCTTGAGGAATGTGATGTTCCTGCCCTCATAGGTCAGTCCGTAGACGGAGGAGGACACTACTCCTGGGTTCTCGGTCACCAACTGACCCATCCACTGGTAGATCTGAGGAGATGAACGACACAAAGGCCATTCTGATTAGATCTCTCTCTCAATGGCAGAGACTCTTGCAAACTGCAATATATGCTCCCACATAGTTTATCGGTGATGTTTCGACCACTTAGGTCTACATCAGCTCTCTCTGAAGGGCATCTATTTCTTTATACAGGGAGTCGTTAACCTTAGGAAAGGGAGGTTTGATTATAATAAATAATACTTATTCTCTGTTACCTCATGCATGGGGTGGTACTTGGTGTAATCATAGCGCCATGGGGTCGCAGTCCCTTCATGCTCAACGCTGTAGTACAAGACATCATTTATTACAATCGTAAGATGACTGAAAGAGAGCTTAAAAGGCTGACATAACAATAGTAAAACTGCTTGATCACAGGGCAAAGAGCAAGTAGCTAGCAGTATATAAACTGACACAGTTAATATAAGATCCTGTTGCAGTGTATATGTTACATACAGATTAACTCACCTTTCTGTGGAACCATTACTTCCCTGTAATAACAGAAATAATCCCAGTGTCTTTAACATTGTTCTGCCTCTTCTGTTCTGATCTGGCAGCAACACTGCCTGAGCTTCCTGAACCAAAGTGTCCGCTGTGTCACCTGAGCAATTAAGCAATTAACGCCCTCTTCCTACCCCCCCCGGCAAAACTAGAAAAGGGTTGCCTACAGTGTCTGCCCGCAATTGAATTGTATGGATGCCCATCCAGGTGGTAGGCCTACCGTTTGTTGCATTGGCTTTATTGGTCCTGATTCCTGTGACTAATCATTTTTGCTCGTTAAGCTCTGAATATCAGCTGCCCAACATTATCAGGAGTTGGGACATTCCACGAAAAGAGGGCTTTTTGCGTCCCTTTGATAATTTAAGTAGAAATTGTGCACCAATATTGAATTTTAAAATCCTTTTATATTAAATGAACTGTCCTTTAATATAGACTACAGTGGGGGAAAAAAGTATTTAGTCAGCCACCAATTGTGCAAGTTCTCCCACTTAAAAAGATGAGAGAGGCCTGTAATTTTCATCATAGGTACACGTCAACTATGACAGCCAAATTGAGGGGAAAAAATCCAGAAAATCACATTGTAGGATTTTGAATGAATTTATTTGCAAATTATGGTGGAAAATAAGTATTTGGTCACCTACAAACAAGCAAGATTTCTGTCTCTCACAGACCTGTATCTTCTTCTTTAAGAGGCTCCTCTGTCCTCCACTCGTTCCCTGTATTAATGGCACCTGTTTGAACTTGTTATCAGTATAAAAGACACCTGTCCACAACCTCAAACAGTCACACTCCAAACTCCACTATGGCCAAGACCAAAGAGCTGTCAAAGGACACCAGAAACAAAATTATAGACCTGCACCAGGCTGGGAAGACTGAATCTGCAATACAGTGGGGAAAAAAAGTATTTAGTCAGCCACCAATTGTGCAAGTTCTCCCACTTAAAATGATGAAAATTACAGGCCTCTCTCATCTTTTTAAGTGGGAGAACTTGCACAATTGGTGGCTGACTAAATACTTTTTCCCCCCACTGTATGTAAATGTGATATATAAGCTTTTCAATTTTAATAAATGTGCGAACATTTCTAAAAAACGATTTTTGCTTTGTCATTATGTGGTATTCTGTGTCGATTGATGAGAAGAAAAAAACAATTTAATCAATTTTAGAATAAAACTGTAACGTAACAAAATGTGGAAAATGTCAAGGGGTCTGAATAGTTTCCGAATGCATAGATGGATGGATGGATGTTATTATTCTTAAATTCTAGAATCTAATTTTTAATTTTTAGAAAAATATATATATACAAAAAAGATACAGTGAGCTCCATAATTCATTGGACAGTGACCATTGTTTTGTTATTTTGGTTCTGTACTCTAGCACTTTGAGTTTGAAAGGATACAATGACAATGAGCGTGAAGTGCAGACTGTCAGCTTTAATTTGAGGGTATTTTCATACATATCGGATGAACCGTTTAGAAATGACAGCACCTTTTATACATGGTCCCCCCATTTTAAGGTACTACAAGTATTTGTTAAATTGGCTTCACAGATGTGTGTTGTTAGGCAGGTGTATTCATTTGTGTCGTTAGTGAATGCAGGAGAGCTGTTGATGAATAGTAATGATTCTAGACGTTGCTATTGCCTTTGGAGGTTGTTATTGGGGCGTGACAACATGAGGAAGACAGCAGTGTCGATGCAAATGAAGTTGGCCGTCATAAGGCTCAGAAATGAAAATCAATCATTCAGGAACATTGCAAAAACCCTGGCCATGCCCAAGTCAACAGTTTTGTTCATCATTAACAAGAAAAAAACAACCGGTGAACTCAATTATGTCAAAAGACCCGGTAGACAGAGGAAGACCACTGTAGTGGATGACCGGAGAATACTCTCTATGGTGAAGAAAAAACCCCTGATAACAGCCCAACAGATCAAAAACACTCTCCTGGATGCAGGTGTAGATGTGTCAAAGTCTACCATACGCAGAAGACTACACCAGCAGGACTACAGAGGGTACACTACAAGATGCAAACCACTGATAAGCCTGAAGAACAGAAAGGCAAGATTACAGTTTGCTAAAAAGCACCTAAAAGAACCCCAAGAGTTCTGGAAAAAAATATTGTGGACAGATGAGACAAAGATTAACATGTACCAGAGTGATGGAAAGACAAAAGTGTGGAGAAAAAAAAGAAATGCCCATGATCCAAAGCATACCACCTCATCCATGAAACATGGTGGAGGGGGTGTTATGGCTTGGGCCTGTATGGCTGCCAGTGGAACAGGCTCACTTG